GGCTGGTCTGGGCTAAGCAGAATACCAAAACCCACATCAGCATGAAGGGGAAGAAAGCCCATCCACATCTGCTAAACTCCAAAACCACGTGCCCAGCACGGTGCGGGGTGCCCACATATATCACAACCATACCAAGTTGTTTCCCTAAAAGTAGCCTAAAAGTAGTACAATATATATAACACATATATTATATTTCATGTAGATTCATATATAAAATATCATAATAATCATAATACATCCCCCAGGGCTCACACTGGGAAAATGGTGGAAGCAGAGTTATCAGGTCTGCTTCTCCCCAGCCTTCCCATCTCAAAAATCCACCCAGCTTCTCATCTAGAGATCAGAGGTGAAATCCTGCATTCTTTCCTTTCCCCTCCCCACGAATCCATCAGCAATTTTGTACGTTCAACCTCCAAAATATTCCTGAAGTCCCTCCACTTCCATTCATCTCCACACCCACCTCCCTGCTCCAAGGTCACCTCCCTGACACCCACAGGGACATGTACAATGCCTTGCTAACTGGCCTTGCCACCTGCAAAAGACTATGCAGATGGCAGCCAGAGTGTCCTTTCCCAGCACACAGCAGTGTCCCCCTCACTCTTCAGAGCCTTCCAGTGGCAGGAGAAATAAAATGCACTGCCCTTATGTTGGCTCTCCCACTGCTTCCCCACCACCCTGACCAGCTCCCCAGCCTCCTGCTCAGGGCCTTCCCCCCCCCCCCGCCCTCCAGTGCACGAGCTCTTGCCCCCTTGAGGTTTCTCCAACCTTCCCTCTGCCTGAACTTCTTTCTTGCCCTACGCACACCTGGCCAGGGGCTACACATCCTCAGAAGCCTTTTCTGACCCACAAATCCACATTAAGCACTCTAGTCTCTCTCATCATATACTTCTGCATTTGTGTAAGTCTGCACTTATTCATGTGTTTTCGTGATTAGCTGATATCTGTCCCCTCATCAGACTACACACTCCGTGAAGGCAGGGGTCATGTATACATAGTCACCCCTATACACACAGCACACAACTTACACAAAGTGGACACACAATAACAACGCTTTACCACCATATAAATTCCTTAATTCATCCCTTACTCAAAAAATAAGAAGTGGAGCAATGATGATTTAATCTAAAAAGCTATTATAATAATCTTAAAAGCTACCATAATAGCTTAGATACCAAAATATTTGGTACTATCTGTCCCTCTAGGTAAATATGTGCTCTCTGGCTAGTTACAGAGACAAAGAAAAGAGATGCATGTACTGCTGCTCTGTCTTCCACGGCCCCTACCTAATACTTTCCAAAACAATTTATTAATCCATTATTAAATGGCAGCAACCACATTTCTATCATTTCACATCCATCTTCAGAAGGGATTCATAAGCATTCTCCAAGCTTGACTCATTGTGCCTAGCTTCATTTACAGAATGTTTCTCATCAGTTCAAATCAACACAAAGTGCGGCAGGTGACACTGAGCGGGGCCCTGCTGCAGTGATATCCTCCCCAAAAGGCACACACAGGGCCAGCAGAGTAGAATTACAACTCTGATGGGCTCAGAGACTTAAGGTTTCATTTTTCCACTGCTACTATGTAAAGTTGTACATGCAAAATAAAATAGTGATAAAATCTCCCAAGACACTATTCTAAAATAAAAGATAATAATAATGCAAATGCTTAAACAAAAGATGATTTTATCTGTATAAATGAATTGGAGAGTTTCATTTCTCCCAAGTATCTTCTAATTCACTGTTTTGCTTTATTTTGCTTAAGTACAAGATAACAGTGATGTCTACACTGCTTGCTATATGCACCCTTTTGAAGTAGTAAATAGTACGTTGGCTTTTAATGGACCTAAATAGTTTTCTTCACTTAGAGGTATGTTCCTATAATAAACTATCCTCAAAATATTTCTACCAGTTCTACAAGATGGAAATGCTTTGTAAACTATAAAATACTATTCAAATGAAAGGACTCTGTATTCCTAAAACGGAAAGCAAAACATTACTAACAGCTCACACTGAAGTGTTACCATTGAGATCACCTCTTTCCAGCCAAGTTCAACTACATCTTCTCAGTTTGGATTTTTCATCAGCAACTGACAAGATCTAATTTGGCGTCCCTTCCACTGCCTTCCTGTTACCGAAACACCCGGTCTTCCTCCCCATCTGACCACTTCTTGGTTTCTCTCACTGACTCCTTCCCTGAGTCTGAACCATGTCACAGAACTGCTCTTTTCTCTCTGTGCTAATTTACTTGCCCTGTCACATGCTTTTTATTATCAACTCTAAAATTGCTGAGCATTTCCTAGTTGGCTTTCTCTTGGCCCAACAACAGGGTTCCTCTCTCCAGTGAAAAGCCATTTCAGTGCCCCTTTCAATTCACCATTGTGTAAACTGAACTCGGGTGCTCCACCCTGCTCCCAAGCCACCAAGCCTGGCTCACTTGGTATCTCCCCCAGGTCACCAGCAGATGCATTCTTTATTAAAATAATTAACTAAAAGATTTAACACTTTTCTAATGGAGATTCGATCTCTCCTTCAGCTCTAGAGAAAGGGACCCAGACAACTTGAAGGAGCAATGGGGGCCAGAAGGCTTGGGGCTCCCCTGGTCAGGTGTGTGCTGTGCTTCCTACACAACCTTCCTCCCAGTGGCTTTTGGGTCTGCCTGTTCTTCGCAGGAGGAACTCCAGGGCGTTCCATCTGCAAATCTTCCTCTATAAGCAGACTGACCTCCCTGACTGCTGCCTGTATAACCCTCGCCTCTACTCAGCTGTTGCCCCCTCACATATGGATTCAATCCTATGAATATTTGTTGAGGGTGCACTTAAGCACGTGTAAAATGCCATGCCAACTACGGGAGGCTCATTACTTATCACTACATAAGAATCAGAGGTGTAATATAAGATACAAATCACATAGGTACCCAGGTACCACAATGAAGTATACACATGGTGCAGCTCACCTAAGATTCTTCTGATAAACTTAAAAATATGTACACTTATTTCTCCTTAAAGTGAAAGGTAAGGCAATTCCTTAACTTTCTTTAACTCTATCTTCACCAGATCACCTTGACATCAACACCCTTTCTTGGGAAGCAGATTGAGAGATCACTGTAGAGGCAGACCAAGCTTAATATTTCTTTTGACCTCAATGTTCCCAGCAAAGTGCTAACTAAACGGTTCCATGGTCAAGGGCTACATGCCATGCAAATTCATCAGTGTTGCCTCACATCTACGAGCATAATTAATGGCAATTTTAAGTTCATCTTCCTTCCTTCTCAATGATTACATCTCAAGTCAGTGTAGTACTATCCAATTCATTTGAATGTTCCAAATCTTTCCTCTTTCACCTTTCTCCCAATTCTACACCATCACAAGGAGTAACTGAAGTTAGCAGTTTTCACATCTTGGGAAGCAGCCAAATGCATTCGAAGTCTTCATCAAGCACCAGGAACAAACGCCCCTCTACCACTTCCTGTTTGTCACTTTAATCTTTTCTGAGTTAAGGGGACTGGAAAACATCAAGAGACTACACTACACTTATTTCAGCCAAGGTCTGAAACTGGAGCCTGCCACGAGCATCTTCTCCAATAGCTCCAACAGTGGGATCCGGGTGACAGTGCCGCCAGAGAGTCTTAGTCGGGGCCAAACCAGCCTGAAGTGAGAGTGAGCCTTCACGTGGAAATGGCCCAGCAGGGCGCGCAGCGATGACAGGCTGACTGCACGTGGCTATCACGAAGAGTAGTCTCAGCAATGACCATGATCAGGCCTTTCTTTTACTTAGTTCCATCTTGGTGCATTGGCGCATTAAGTGGATAAAGGAACATCTAAAATAAAGCACAACCTATGGACTTTAACCACTGACTAAGGAAGATCAAAAACAGGGGACAAAACCCACCCAGAGTTCCCTGACCTCGCGAAAAGGCTCACACCAATGCGGCGCTGGCCCAGGTGTGCTCGCCCACCTCCACCTAGGACCATGCTGGCCCAAGAAGGCCCTGAGAGCAGGGGAGGGCAAGAACGGCCAGCGCACTTCCGGGGAGGGGGCACAGCTAGTCAGCCCCCGTCCGCGCCCAGAGGCGCCCGGTGTGCGTGCACGCCCTGGGCACCGGGCTGGGCAGAACTCGGAGAGGGGATGAACAAGCAGAGAAAGCCAGCGGAGAGACGAAGCCTTCGCCAGTCCGGGCATGCTACACTTGTCGGGGCCATCCGCCCAGAGAGGAAACAAAAGCCAAATACCCCCAGCCCAGTGCTCGGTGGCCGCAGGCACCCGCCGCCGGGTCCCTCGCCCCCAGTCCCGGGCTGCGCGGGCTCCCAGGCAGGTGGAGAAGCGGGGCTCTGCGGCGGCCGCGCCCGTCCAAAGTGGGCGACAAGTCGGGCAGCGCCTCGCGGGGACCCGGCGCGCGCCCGGGCGGCGAAAGAGAAAGAGAAAGAGCCGGGCCAGGGCGGACGCGATGCCCGACCGCCACCGCCCCCGCCGCCCGCCAGGCCCTCGCGGCGGACGCGCGCGCCGCTCGGCCCGCCGCACCCCACGGCGGCGTGGGGGCCCACGCGGTCCCGATCACCCACGGGGCGCGGGCGTCCTCCTTACCCGAGCGGAGCGGCGCCGGCCCGCAGCGCCGACTGGGCGACACGCGCGGCGAGCCGGCGGGAGGCTGGCGGCCAGGCTGCTGCGCCGCTGGCCGCGGCGCCCGGGGGGAGGGGCGCGAGGTGCACGCGCCGGGTGGGGGCGCGGGAGCCGCCCCCTGCCCGCCCCGCGCGCATGCTCCCGCCGCACCTGCCTCGCTCCGGGCTCCTCTCCCCGGAGCCGGTGTCGCCCGGCCCGCCCAAGTCGGGGCTTCCCCGTGGAGGGAGGTGGCTGCGGCTTGCTCTTAGATGCGGCTTTCTCCGCGTCTGCTCGCTGGGCAGGATTCCCCGAAATCTTGGCGACTTCCTGCTGACAGCCCCCTCCCCCGCAACGGTGTCCCCGGGCGCTCATCCCTGCCTCGTCCCAGCGCCGGGGGTTCACCTTCCGAATGCTGTCCGCGCTCGGGATTCCTCTCCGCCCTGCTGCTCGCTCCGAACTCGCCGCCTCCTCCCTGGTGCCCCGTTCCCGCTCTCGGCTTCGCCACGCGTACCGGGATACCATTTCAAAATAAAAGGGTACTCTTTTCGAGTGGTGGGAGTGTGAACTGACCCTGTTCCAAATCGCTCGGGATTGAGCAGGAAACAGGTGCTGGTTCGTTCCTGTCCTCGTGAAATTTAGGGTCTTACTGGCTAACGTTGGCCCTTCACAAATTATTGTCCCCAGTTTTGGAAGGAACTAATTAAATCATTTATTTTGGCTTATAACTATAAGTAGCTGGAAATCAAAAACTATATTTTGTGACTTTTGATGAAATTTTCTTTCATCAGTGTGTCGTGTGTATAAATTCTAGTATGCGAATAGCTCGATAACTCTTAGGTACAAAATAAGTATTAGTTTGTCGCTTAAATCAAGAAATTGAATAATTTAACCTAACAATATACCATTCAAAATGACCTTTTTGGTGTTTTTAGGCAAGACTGAGCATTTGATGGAAACATAAGTTAGTGTACTACTGAAGAGAGTAATGTAAACCCCTTTGGTAATGCAGTTTTTAAATTAGAGACAAGAGCATAGAAATTTGTAAGTGCAAAGACACACAAACTGTCTTCTGTGTTCTAATCAGTTAAGAAAAAGAGGTTTAAAGCAAAGAGAAAAAGAATCCAAAGGAAAACATTTAAGGCACATCTAATGAAATGGTGTGCTTGTTTCCAGCCCATTTAAACGTGTTTGTGCTAAGACATTGTAGAGTTGTGGTGCATTTCTCTGACAACAGGCGGGGTACTACCTTTGGCAATTTGCTCACCCAACTGGATAAAATGACAGTGAGACTCAGTGACTGAAAGGAGTGGATGAGAGTCCCCCCTTCCTACAACTCAAGTGAACACACCTACAGTTTTTGCTGAAGGACAAGTGTTACAACTATAGCAGTGTATTCTCAGTCCTTACCAGTCCTGTTTATTTGTCACTAAAGACTCTAGGTCTTAGTGACACAAACATCAAAATGTTCTCAGAACAAAAAGAGTAAAGAGCATTTCTGGTACCACCTGCCCTTCAGAAAAATCAATATCAATATTATACAAAATCAAAGAAAGTTGAATTGAAATTCGAATAGAGTGAATCTACATCACCTTGTCTTCGCTTTTTTTTTTTGGAAACAATTATTATTATAACATGTTTATTGATTATATTTGGCTGAAGTTTATAAAAGCAAAATCAATCTGTTTTCATAGGCTAGGCTTAAATAAGGAAAAGGATGTACCCATAAAACAGGAGACACAGGCAGGGAATCTCACCGAGGGTATTAAATGCATAGGTGCATAGTGCTGACAACCACATATGATTCTATTCAAAGAAGCTGACATCCGCTTTAAACTTCTCTGTTATTCAAATTTTATGGAAATGCAAGCAGGAACGCATTAGTACACTTCTTACAGAATTTTTTAAAAGCTGTAGTAGTAAATCCCTTTTATTTGAGCAGATTAAAATGAAATATCCACATTATTGATTTTTATAACTTTATCAATGGTCCATCATGAGCAAAAAGGTTTAGAACACTGATGGTTACTAGGCATTTTACTTTTATAATTCAATTGAATCTAGCCAACTCCAAATGCAAGGTTGATATTGACCTGATAAAGATGGTTTATTGTTGAGACAGACATTCCTGGTGGCATGGTAGACACAAACCCTCTTTCTGGAAGTCATCAAAATATAACAGAATCACAACAGTCCTGTAACACATCTGTGTTCATCAGTTGTTGGTGAAAATGAAACTTTCCCGCCTGCTAAGATAGCGACTGGCTTTATTAATGAACACTCCAATTTTTTTAAATTTGCTAAATTTGTTTACTTTTTTCTGGCTAGGTGTTCATATATCTTTTCTAAGTAGGATTAAATTACATTGCTTTATTATTTGATCAATAGCAAGATTGGCTGTTGAGATTGATGTGTTTTTAAGACAATTATTTCCTAGCATATACTTTGAATAAGACAATTGACAATATATGAGAGTTTAGCACAGAGTGAATTCCTTTACATGCTTTGGTGAAATTCAGGAGAAATTATCTTAACAGAACTCTATACTTACTTGGACAAGCAAATTATCCACAGCAGCTATAATTATTTCTTTGGTCGCCATTTACCTTCAACAACTAGTATCATCAATTTTATTTGCATATTAATGCCACTGTTAATAATTTCCTCTGTTACAGTTTATCTATTACAGTGGTGTTTTTCTAAGTGAACTGTCCAATATTAAACTTCGTTTAATGGATTGAGATGTAAATAATTGCATGGAATTCTATTTAAATGTAAATATTAGTTTGGAAAGAAGTATAAATTATTATAAATGCTTAAAACTAATTTTAAATAAAAGATACCAAAAAGCACATATTAGCTTGTGCAAGTTTGTTGCATGAGTCAACTCTTCCTTTTATGAAAGCATGTATTAGCTTTTTGGTATCAAAGATAATATGCACATCAGCTATTTTGAACAAATGACTTAAAATCTATATAAAAATCTATTTAATTTCATACCTGTACTTTCCTTTAGTTGAACAAAGCTATCAAAAAGTAGCTTCAAAACACTGCCTCTAGGTATACTCCCTCAAAATTTTTAAAAATCTAACTTAAACACAATATTTCTGATGATGCATAGATAAATTGAACAAGCTAAGGATCCTCACATCAATAAGAAAACTTCATTTCCCACTACAACCAATACTGACTAAACTAATGGGATCTGGAGAAGGGCATGAAAAAACCTGAAGGAAAGCTATCAATTTCTTTAATCTCATTTTCCTAGTTATTGATGGGGAAACCATGCCATCTCCAAGGCAAGAGATCTAGAATAAGGAAAATGGGAAATTTGGTGGTAGAAATTCACATTTTCCTGAATAGCAATATGCCCCCAAATAACTATAGCTAGACATACTTTTTTCTGAAAAATAGCAGGCATACTTCTCAGGTCAGTTCTGGACCACTACAATAAAACAAATATCACAGTAAAGTGAGTCACACAATTTTTTTTGTTTCCCAGTGCATATAAAAGTGATGTTTACACTATACTGTAGTCTATTAAATCAATAGAATTGTCTAAAAAAACATATAACTTCATTTAAAAATACTTTATTGCTAAAAAATACTAATGATCATCTGAGCCTTTAGCAAATTGTAATCTCTTTGCCGATAGAGGGTTTTGCCTCTGTGTTGATGGCTGCTGACTGATCACAGTGATGGTTGCTGTAGGCTGGGATGGCTGCAGCAATTTCTTAAAATAAGACAACAATAAAGTTTGTTGCATGAGTCAACTCTTCCTTTTATGAAAGAATTCTCTATAGCATGTGATGCTGTTTGATAGCAATTTGCCTGTAGTGGAACTTCTATCAAAATCGGGGTCAACCTTCTCGAACCCTGCCACTGCTTTATCAACTAAGTTTATGTAATATTCTATATCCTTTGTTGTCATTTCAACAATGTTCACAGGATCTTCACCAGGAGTAGATTCCATTTCAAGAAACCACTTTCTTTGCTCACCCCTAAGAAGCATCTCATCAGTTCAAGTCAGATCATGAGCTTGAAGCAATCCAGCCACGTCTCCAGGCTCCACTTCTAATTCTAGTTCTCTCGCTATTTCCACCACACCTGCAGTGACTTCATCCACTATAATTTGAACCCCTCAAAGTCACCTATGAGAATTGGAATCAAGTTATTTCAAACTCCTGTTAACGGGAACATTTTGACCTCTTTCCATGAATCATGAGTGTTCTCAATGGTATCCAGAATGGCGAATCTTTTCCAGAAGATTTTTAATTGACTTTGCACAGCTCCATTAGAGGAATCACTATTAATATTTATGGCAGCTATAGGCTTACAAAATATATTTCTTAAATAATAAGACTTGAAAATGGAAATTAGTCCTTGATCCACGGGCTACATAATCGACAAGTGTTAGCAGCCATGAAAACATTAATCACCTTGCACATCTACAGAAGAGCTCTTGGGTGACCAGGTGTATTGTCAATGAGCAGTAATATTTTAAAAGGAATTTTTTTTCTTAACAGCAGTTCTCAACAGTGGGCTTAAAATATTAATTAAACCAAGCTGTCAACAGATGTACCTTCATCCAGGTTTTCTTGTTACATTTAGAGAGCACAGGCAGAGTAGATTTAGCATAATTATTAGGTACCTTAGGATTTTCAGAGTAATAAATGAGCACTGGCTTCAACTTAAAATCACCAGCTGCCTTAGCTCCTAACAAGAGAGTTGGCCTGTTCTTTGAAGCTTTGAAGCCAGGCATTGACTTCTCTGTAGCTATGAAAGTCCTAGATGACACCTTCTTCCAACAGAAGGTTGTTTCGTCTTCACTGAAAATCTATTGTTTAGTGCAGCCACTTTCATCACTGATCTTAGCTAGATCTTCTGAATAACTTGCTGCAGCTTTTACATCAGTACTTGCTGCTTCCTCTTGCACTTTTATGTTATGGAGTTTGCTTCTTAAACCTCATGAAGCAACCTCTGCTAGTTTCCAACTTTTCTTCTGCAGCTTCCTAATCTCTCTCAGCCTTCACAGAATCTAAGAGAGTTAGGACCTTGTTCTGGATTAGGCCTAGGCTTAAGGGAATGTTGTGGCTGGTTTGATCTTCTGAGACCATTTACACTTTTTTCCATATCAGCAATAAGGCTGTTTCGATTCCTTATCATTTGTGTGTTCACTAGAGTAGCACTTTCAATTTCCTTCAAGAACTTTTCCTTTGCATACACAACTTGGCTTAGTGTTTGGCACTAGAGGCCTACCTTTCATCCTACTTCAGCTTTCAACATACCCTCCTCATTAAGTTTAATCATTTTTACCTTTTGATTAAAAATAAGAGATGTGTGACTCTTCCTTTCACTTGAACACTTAGAGGCCATCGTAGAGTTCTTAACTGGACTAATTTCAATATTGTTGTGTCTCAGGGAATAGGGAGGCTCTAGGTGAGGGAGAAAGATGGGGGAAACAGCTGGTCAATGGAGCAGT